GAGCGTCCAGAGCACACTATGATGGGGGATGCAGTCAGCATGCAGAGTACAGTATGGGGGGTACAGTCAGCATGCAGAGTACAGTATGGGGGGTACAGTCAGCATGCAGAGCACAGTATGGGGGGCGCAGTCAAAGTTTAGGCACGGTATATAAAGATCGGTATGGCTGACGTACAGCGGTCTGATAAGAAGTTGGTCGCTCTCCTCCGCTGGAACAGTTCCCTCTGCTTTCCTCTTCGCAGACATCTTTACAGTCAATCACATTCCCAACCAGACAGCCACTCTTCCGCCAGTCCTCTTGTTTCTCATTCCCACCACTTCCGGTACACTTTGTCCTTGTATTGAAGGTTCCACCGTATATTGAAAGTTCCGCTGTGTGTACTTGTTGAAGTTTCCGCTGTGCCCCTGTATGGAAGGTTCCGCTGTGTATTAAAAGTTCCGCTGTGTCCCTTTGTTGAAGTTTCCGCTGTGTCACTAAATGGAAGGTTCCGTTGGATACTGAAGGTTCCGCTGTAGTGGTGGGTGTTGGTCGGATCTGTGTGTGTAGTGGAGGAAGATGATGGTGGGTAGTGGTGGCGGTGTTGGGGGCTCTTCTTGGATTGGTATCAGTCTTTGTTTTGTTCCTCCACTCTGTGTTCCTGCAATGCGTATCATGTCATCAGTGTGCAGTGTATATAGGTCATTCTTCGTGTGTGTTACATTCTATCCTCCCTCAGTGTACACAAAATAGGTACAGACACATTTTGGTAGTCCCGACTCTCCCAGGGGTGACACAGCCATCTGTGATATTCCATGAAAGCTCTTCCTGACATGTAGAATGTCCATGTATGTCATTGTGTGACATAACACAGCCATGTCCATGTATGTCATTGTGTGACATAACACAGCCATGTCCATGTATGTCATTGTGTGACATAACACAGCAGCATGCAGACTGGAGTAATATTGTGATATTAGCATCATCCTGATCAATTGTTATGTTGTATTGGCCGTATTGCGGTACGCAATGCTTGGCGGCAGACAGTCACATGGGGTTGTTATATATTGCTGGTATAATATTCACACAGGGCATGCCACAAGTCATGTGTACATCTTATATACTGTACATACAAAGCTATGACTAATCCAGAATGAAAGTGATCAGACAATGCAATGTCCATGTTTTCGAGAGTAAAAACACGTCTTTATAAAAGGAAAAAAAAATGTGCATTTATTGGTTTTTGGGGGGCCTCAGAGGGTCCCCTTCATCAGGCTCAGAATGAAACAACACCAAAATACCAACACCTTTAAATAGACATACATAATGAGTGAAACAACAGACCCCTCCCACACCTACACAGCATCAGGAATAGCAATCAGCAATTGAATGGCAATTTTTCATTAAAATGGACTTTTGCTGATCACTTGAATTGGTGTGCTGTAGTTTCTCCATTCACAGATCCTATCAAAGGGTCTGTGAATGGATGATGCAGCTGTGTGTATGGATGATGCAGCTGTGTGTATGGATGATGCAGCTGTGTGGAAGGATTCATGCACAGCCATGCCGAATTAAAACATGTACACAAACCCGCAGAACCCTGTGATTCAGGTAAATGGGTGGGGTGTGATCTGACCATGTTTCATATTACACCCTAAATATGGGGAAAACATGGACTAAAATAGGGAAAGGTAACCTTGGCACTCCAGCTGTGGAGAAACTACAAATCCCAGGATGCCTCTGCCTCCAGAAGTCATGCCTGTGGCTGTCCACGTCTTGTAATGTCTCCTGGGATTTGTAGTTCCAAGTTGTTGTTTTTTTTTAGTGCCGAGGTTGCCTACTTCAATCTAAAAGGTAAACATTTCATAAATCCTGTTTTACGCTCTCTGTATATATTGGGCTTCTCTTGGGTGCTGTAAACAATGAAAGAAGCAGCGATATCTTGGTGAATGAAACAATTTCATGACACATCACCTTGTTCTTTCCCCCTCAGGACGTCCGGATGGAATTGTGACAGGAGAATGTTCCGCAAGGGGAAGAAACGACACAGCAGCAGCAGTTCTCAGAGCAGTGAGATCAGTACGAAGAGCAAGGTGTGTGCCCATCACGTCGTCTGTGTAAGAAGGTCGGCTACTTCAATGAGTATTTCCATCTTTGCAGCCAAATTGGGGTAACACCGATTTCATATTTGTTACATGTTCCCATTCATATAGCATAGCTTTAAAAATGTACATTTCTGCTTCCATATTACTTGTTCTTTTCTGAAAGAAAAGTAATTTTGAGTCTGCCCTAATAAAGGATTAAAGGTCGAGATGCATTCTATGTTAATGGGAGGAAGCTCAGTCTGTCCCTAGTCTTTCTCTGAACTGTCACTTTATTATTATTATATTATTATACAGGATTTATATAGCGCCAACAGTTTGCGCAGCGCTTTACAATATAAGGAAGACATTACAATCACAATATAATTCACGACAAAATAGTAAGGAGGGCCCTGCCCCTGAGGGCTTACAATCTAAAAGGGAGGGGGAAATGATACATGAGGAGGTAGCTGTGTGGGGATGAATTGTTTTAGAACGTGATGGTTCAGTGGTTAGGTTGAGGTGGGATAAAATTGTGCAGGGAAGCTCCAAAAGCCGCTATACGGACATCTGAAAGGTAAGAAATGTTTTTGTTTTATTATTTTTCGTTATGCTGTGTGGATGGGAACACATAACAAACATGTAGTGGGGCTCTCTCAAACTTGTGTGCAAAAGTGGAAATAGATTTTTACTCCTGTGATGGACGGTACATCGTGAAGGATGATACAATCTCACTTTTAGTTTACTAATACTGTATATATTGAGATTGTAGTCCATCATGGGAGCGAGCTTGGAGCGGTGACTACTTTACAACACACACAGGGGCCATGGGGAACAAAAGTAGCCCCCCTCCAGAAGGAAGGACAGTGTCAGCACCAATTCAGAGATGATTTGAGGATCTACAGCCGAGTGATACACAAATAAGTCCAGTATTGTTAATAGTTCAGGTATTTGAATGGATTTTTAAGATTTAACTCCTGAGTTTAGTGTCACTTTAAAGTAAATAAAGTGAATAGTTTTACTTGGATGACATTAGTGTCGTGAAAAATGATATAAAATTCCCTATAGGTACGGTGGTGGTCAGTGAAACTATTACCACACTGATAACTGAAAAAAGTCCTGGTAATGGAGAGGTGTATATATAGGCTGGTTCTCAAGTGGTTAATATGGAATTCCTTTCAACATGAATCCATAGAGCACCACACAGGGTCTTAATTTCTGAAGCTTGTGCTGTGTAAGTTTCTGTCTCTCTGCAGCCTCTATCACCTACCAAACACAAACCTCCAAGGCACGCTCCACCTGGTTGTTGGCTGTTCTTAGTTCCGACACCTTTTATAGGTTGCCATTCAAGTCGCAGTGGAAATGTTCATGGCGAGTGTTGTAATGGTAAATGTTGTGTCTCCTAGTCTGTAGATTCCAGTCTTGGAGGCCTTTCCAGATCCAGCACAGTGGCTAGCCTGGACACAGATTCTACCAAAAGCTTTGGTGAGTTCCTTCGTAATATTAGAGTTACTAATAATATACATCTGCTCCTAAGTTTAAATGATTATGCAAAACTGTGACTAACATACCCTCCCTACTGGCCCAATCAGTTGCAGCAGGGGCATTCCCTGCTCCTTTGTGACACGTAGCTGGCAGGGTGGTGGTGATGTGTGTCAGTTTTGTGCAGGCTTGGGCGAACTGGACTTGCACCATGCACCCACACATCACTAATAGAGAGGAGGAGAGGGGATCGGAGAGGCGTAGCCAAAATAAGAAGCAACCACTAACTGAAAATAGAACTGAAGATAGACATGGCCCCCCTTCCATATGACTCCATCTCCTCAATTGACAGTGCAGTTGTTATTCCTGTGTAAGGAAAAATAATATTAACATCCACACCTATTTATTTGCAAATACCACATTTCCATTGACCTCAGATATGCAGGTGACCCAAACATCTGAAGGTGTCTGTAGGTCCAGCTACAGGCAAACGGCTAAACCTCGAACCATCTATATGTGCTTTTGGTTATGCTGTGGAGCTGAGAGGACCGAGGTGTGTGCGGACTCCTCCAGAGCTGGCTCATCTCCTTCTATACAGTAGCCAAAGAAAAACGTTTTCTGACCTGTCTGACTGCTAATTTCTTTGAGGTTTCTCAGCTTCCAGTGTCTGCTGAGCCAATAAACATGAGACTATTCAACAATCCATCCAAATGCAGCCAGATTGGGCAATGGTTATCTCTGGTCAGGGAGCACCTTTCGGCGTTGGATTCAAGGATATAGGCAACATTTGCTTTAGATTTTCAAATGGAAACATTAAAAATGTCCTTTAGTAACCTACACAATAATTTTACATGTGACATAACTCCTTTCATTCATTGAGGCTGGATTCACACCTATGTGTTACGCTGATGCCTGTCAGGACCCCTCCTTCGTCCGAATCGGATTTTTCAGTCTGCTTTTGTTGAAGAAGCTGGTCCAAACAGAGCCCATTGCCAATCAGCTGAACTCATTGTTCAGGTATTATGACAGCACACTCACTGATGCCAGAATACAACAGATCGACAGCAGCGATACCTACATCCATGCTGTTAGTGTGGATGGGGGTATCAAGAGGTTTTTTGTTTTTTTTTTCCTCGTTCAGCCCATGAAGCTGCACAGGGAAAGTCTACTAGTGTGTGCCCAGCCTTAGTCTACATGGTTTCTGGTTACCAGGAGCATTGTGGTTATTCCTGTTATCAGAGACTGCAGATAGTCTTTTGTTTCAGACAGGCTATGTCTGGAAGATTAGAGGATCAGGAAGCAAAGCCTGTATATATAAAGAGCAAATATATGATGCCCCCAAAGAATATATAAATTCATTATAAACCGGACATAGAAACAAGACCTTTTCCATATGGACACACATGATATGATTCTTTCACATTTCTTTTTTACATGTATGTGTAAACATTTTTAAAACTAGTTGGCTATATGAACTCCTGTTTCTCAATTTTTAAAGTATAGACCACTTTATAAATGTGAGTCTCCTTATTGAGATGTTGAAAGGTGATGCGAGGAATCTGACACTGCACTGTTGCCCTTCTGTTGTCTTGTACCAGTCTTGCCACTCTCCGTTCTGCCCTAACATTGACTAGTCGCTGACGGCCACAATTCGCACGTTCAGACCCAGATTTTCGGCTGACAGTCCAGTCTTTAAACACTTTAACAACAGCTGCTCTTGAACATTTAACGAATTCTGCTGTTTTGCTGATACTCGCTCCATGGCTCCGAGCGCCAACAATCATCCCACGTTCAAAGGCTGTTAAATCGCGTTGTTTACCCGTATCTTCAGAAAAAAATCATTTCTACTGTCGTGGTAAACAACCTGCTTCCCTATTTATAATGGTCTGGCCCTCTAGCAACTTCAGCGCGAAATTATAGCTAATTTGCCTACAAACGTCAGGTGGTCATAATAATCTGGCCACTCAGTGTATAATATATTGTAATGTTGGGGAGCTCACAGAGCACTCGCACAGTGTTTTTCATAAACCAAAAAGTCTTTATTCTTTTTCTTCACACAACTCACAGATGAAAACACAACTTCAGGCTTAACTTCAGCATGTAACACAAAGTATATTGTCTCAACGACTCAAGGTTGTCCTCTTCATTCAGTGTCCCAATCCCAGTACTCTAACGTTTGCCTCAACAAAAATAATTTGTGCTACTTTATACCCTTTAACCGCTTCCAACACTACTCCTCCAGCCTCCCTGGCTTTTCTGTGTGTGGCTCCACCACACCACCTAGCTTGGCCCTCGTGTGTCTCCAGCACACACCCCACCAACTCTCTGAGCTCTGGTCTGGGCCCTTAATAAGGCTGCTCTCAGCCACCTGATCACCAGCAACACCTGACCGTGCCAGATTTCTGCTTTGCTCCCTGGTTCTGGACTGTCAGCCTATGGTGTTTCAGAAGGCTGCAGCCAATCTGCTCTCCTCCTCCCCTATTTAGGACTTCCTCACTTGTTGCTCTTGGTGCGAGCAACAAGTCTTATGCCTTGTTCTGTACCCCTTGTGGCTCTAACTATCCCTGGGATATTATTCCCTGCGCTTGATATTGGATCTTTGTGCCTTTGGCTTCCCTGTACCAGCTGGTATCCCTGTTTGGCGTTATCCTCTGCTTTGCTCCTTGCGCCCCTACTATAGTATTTCAGTGGTTACATTTAGCATATTGCTGCAGACCTTAATTGCTTTCACCTGTGTACTGTGAGTCTCTCTCTATACTGCATTCATTGCCTCACTTCTACTGTGTTTTCCCTCTCCAGCCTTTGTGTGTTGCTTCCTCCTCTTTTCTTGATTTTTTTGTACTTCAGTTCTGTCACTTACCTTCCAGTGTATCTTCCTATGCTTTGCTGTCAACCTTTATTTCTGTGCTCCTCTCTTACCTTGTGGCTGTGTTTGGATTCGTCCTTGTCTGCACACCCCCTGTGTGCATACATCCTTTTGTGCTTCTTTATGTACTTTTCTTTCTGTTATCCTGCTTCTTTGTATGCATGTGCAACGCACATCTCCTGCTTACTTTTGTACGTTACACCTTCCTGCTCCTAGGTGTGCCTCTAAGCTACTTACACTCCCCGGGTGTCCTTGTTTAGCTACCCTCTTCAGTATACTCTGCTGTTCTGCTGTGCGTTTTGCACTTTTTGCTTGTGACTTTCTCTTTCTCTCATTGTTTTCCACGTTTCCTAGTTTCCTATCTTCCTCCTCCTTGGTTACTACTTTCTTCCCTACCTGTTGTTTGTATCCAGTTCCCCTGTGCTTCGACCAGTCCTTTGCGTCTGTGTGGGTGCGCTAGAGGGCCGCAACCTGGAAGGTGTCCAGCAGCCAATCATCCTCACCACTAGAGGCTCTGTCGAATATCTGGCCCTTCTTAGATTCTGCGCCTCTAGTGCGTCCTGAGAACGCACAGACCATTAGTTCCTCTCTCTCTGTGACATCCCAGATATCCCTCCTGTCTGTGACTCCTACTAACTCCTCAAACCCCAGAGCTCACATACCCTAGTGCCCGGTCCCCAGATCCAGATCCCAGTTACAATCTGGAAAAACCGGAAGAAATGAAAAGGCCAGCTGCTTCTTCTTCCCTGCAGAACTATTTGCATTCTAGAACCTCTCGACCCCTCTGGCTGAGAGTCCTGGGTGACCGTGTTGCCAGCATACTCCGTGGCATTGCCACCCTGCCACTATATATATATATATATTATTTCGGTACTTACATGATTAATTTACTACGATCTGAATCATCAGAAGTGTGTGTGTAAATTGATTAGATTAGGAATACATGTGAGTGGCTCTATAGAATCTATCATATGACATGGCTGTGTAAATGAATACATTAAAAAAACTCCAATAAATATTAGAAAGTAACGTTTCCCAGGGATAAATTTGAGTACATTAGAAATACAGGAGAGTCGTGAGCTGGTATTTGTTATGCTATGATAGATGTTTAATCATTTCCTGACTAAGCTTTGCTTCTCACCCCCAACATTGCTGTGTACATATCTTACAAAACAAGCAGACAGGAAGTGCACTTCCTCCTATCTCTGCAGAGCTTGTCTTGTTACCCACAAGGCACAATAGAAGCAATGCAGACCGTCCAGGACAAAACAGCACCGCACCATAGAAGTAAATGAGAATGATTATCGAGTACTATATTGGTGATCTGTCAACCCTTTTAAACCTTTCCTGTCTGCCGCCCACAGGACAAGCCACTGGAAACTCTGATCCGTGTGCCGAGTTCAGGGTGAAGTATGTGGGATCCATTGAGAGAGTACAGCCTGAGGAGAACAAACCTCTACAGGGACCTCTGGATCTGATCAATTACATTGATGTTGCACAGGTACACATGATTGTTTGGAGTCAGCAAACAAGAAGGGAATATATGTGTAAAGATATGATGAGACTTACAGAGCATCGGTATTAACAAAGAGAATGATACTAATAATGGTAAAAAGGGAAGAAGTTTGCTGGTGAGCTCTGCCTCTCATTTTTGTAGCCATATTGGGAAAACACCTACTTTATACCTGTTACTGTCACACTTACCTGGTTTACACACTTGTTTTTCTCCCCACTGCCCTTAGTGCTCGGCTACCAGCCCATTGCAGATCACAGGCCAATCTCTTGCCGCCTCTCCTTTTATAGAGTTGGTTCACCCGTTGCTGGTGTTCAAGCGACATGTAGCTATATTAGCTGCCAGACCCCATGTGTTCCTAGTTATCTCTCTTTGTGTTTCCTGAGATCTCCTGTGCTTTTGAGAGTTTCCCTGTGCTTCCTGTGTACCCCTGGGGATCTCCTTGAATGTCTGTGCTCCCTGCTCTGTTGTTTTCAGTGTTCCTGCTGTCCTCAGTGTGTTCCTGTGAATATTGCTTGAGACCCACCATTGCATTCACCTGTGTGCTGTATGTCTGAACTGCCTGCACCGCTGCACTGCATTAGATTTCTCACACTTCAGCTCTTGTCTGTCTGCTCTTCTCCATGCCTCCACCTGTGTTGTGTTTTTTGCTCAGCAGTGCTGTAAGTCTTTCCCCTGTGTTCCTGTACCACTGTGCTGCACACCTCTTCCTTTGTGATCCTGTATCTCCATGTCTATCCATCATCACTGTGCAACGCACACTCTGTCACCGAACCCAATTTCCCAGCGCTTCTGCTCTCCAGTGTATGCTGTACCAATGCACAGTTATCACATACTCTGAGTAGTACTGGTCTCCTTTCCTGTGTGTCTTTGAACACCTATAATGAGTGGAGAAATAACCAGCACTACAGAGTTCCAAGAATGTCAGATCTTGTTTACTGACATCCAATCAGGTCTTACAATGTATGGCAACATTTCAGAACGCACAACGGTTCCTTCTTTAGGCAAACAAAGTCACAATCGGCTGATCGAAGGAGCCGGTCGGGAAATCTTCATACAAACAGAACTGGCAGCCAATGTGTTGCTGACTCTGTTCGGGTATTCTGAGCAGTGTATGGCCAGCTTAAGATCTTTAAAGCTGTATTAAACGCTCAACCTTTTTTCAATAATGAATCCAGATTAAACAAGTATTCATTGCCCAGCAAAGTATTTGCCCAAGCACTTACAGTCATCATGTTTCTAAACAGCTGCTCCATCTCTCTCAGCTCGGCTCCCCTGAAGTTATTGTCCCGTTCAAGATCTGGGCAGTGCTCTAGGAGCAGTATCCGTTGTAAGGCCCCATTCACATCCTGTCCGTGCCTTTGCATTACAGCCCCACAGACCTCTATGGGGCCTTTCCCCTTCATCTCTTTGTCTTTGACCTCAGGACATAGCCCCATAGAAGTCTGTAGGGTCATGCTTGTGTAGCCAGGAAAGTGAGACTTGCAGCACTAGGTGTCATAAAGCACTGGAGATGGCAGCTGTTGGATACAGATTAATTTGCATCTGTGGAGGAAGGGGGGGGGGAGGGGGGCAGGGGTACGGGATTCACCTGGACAGTCCGGGTTTTGAATGCTGTGTCCGGCTTCATGGCAGCAGAAACCCGCATAGACTGTCTATTACCAAGACATTCTATGCGGAGACATGATGTCAGGCAAATGGGTAACCAAAATTAAGACAGGGGCTACTGGCCCCCCACTGAAAATAGACTCAACTGTGATATATCCATATGAATGGGTGGCACTATTTACATATGAATATGCCGCGACTCATACTCCCCAAAAAATATTTGCGCATCACTAGAGTGTTCATGTTTCGCTTGAAGAAAAGGTGGCAACCCTAGGGGGAGGGGATTACTTTAAGTCAATGCAAAGTGGCAAACCGTATAAATACACTTTGTCTGAAAGAGTACTTCTCCATTAAAAGGAACTGTGCAGCTCCACCTTCTGGTCAGCACTGAGGCTTCATCAGCAATGACTGTTCATCTTCTTAGCTGTGAAACTGGCAGTGAAGGATTTCATTACAGTAATTCATAACATTGTCACATATTTGTCATAATAAGGATTTATCACTTACCTGCTAATCATGGAAATGAAATATATAATAATCTTTGCATTATATTTGTATTATCTTTTATAGCAAGATGGAAAACTTCCCTTTGTGGCCCCGGATGAAGACTTCATCATGGTCGTCTCAAAATATGGTATTAAAGTAACTACCTCTGATCTGTATGTAAGTGGCTTTCCCATTATTGCTGTCCTTTTTACATTCACACTTGGTTTATCATCATTATTCATTATACTGTCCCATCCCCATCAAATGGGTGACCTGCTGGTGTGTGTGTACTAATAAGAAAAACTATTTATTGTAAGTGTAGCTTTACTATAGGACTGGTATATGTGAGTTGGGTCTTATCAAGGGAAAATCTGTATTATCTGGAGTACTGCTATAAAAGTTATTTTTTATGTAGATTACAGAGCGGAAAATCCCAGTGAGGGAGCATGGACATGACTTTTATTAGAACTAGGGATGCACCAATACCAAGTACCGTACTCCGAACAAGTACAAGTACCGATACTTTTCCAGATCCAAAACTAGACTAGAGAAAAATTCAAAAGTTAGGAGGCAGATGTTATTTGTAAGGAGCACACGGAGCTTCTGGTATTTGTACATCTCTGTTTTAATGTATGATATATATATCTATCTAGATATCTAGCTATCTAGATATCTAGATATCTAGATATCTAGATAGATAGATAGATATATAGATAGATATATATAGATAGATAGATATCTAGATAGATAGATATCTAGATAGATAGATAGATAGATAGCACCAATACCATTTTGCAAGTACTAGTACTGATACTTGCCAAGTACTCACAGATACAAGTACTGATACTTGCCAAGTACTCACAGATACAAGTACTGATACTTGTCCAAGTACTGATACATTTTTGGTTAGTGTCATGTGACAGTTTTTCTAAAACAATACAGACTAATGATTTCAGGACAGTGGTGGAGCGCCAGAGCCAGGTCCCAGCTGCAACCTCTGCAACCCTGGTAGTTCTCATGAAAATGCCAAGTATCGGCACTGGCATCTGGAAAGTATCGGTGCATCCATAATTAGAGCAATCATTCTCCACCAGTGTGCCACAGCACAATCAAAACACAAGTTCATGAAATGTACTGTAACGTGCACTACAGAGGCACCAGCAAGGCACCCGACTGAGCCTTAGCAACAGATTACTCCTTCGTTATTAGATGCTGCCGGCGGCTACAGTTTAAGACCTCATCCGGAAGCCTTGCTGGTGCCTATCTAACGCATGTAAGACCTGGGGCCTCGGAGTCTGCAGGCGGCCATCGAGGCGTCCCACACCGCGCCACTACAGACTTAATAAAGCACATTTCATGTTTTTTGACGCGTTCCGTGAACGTGTGCCAAAGTGCACGTTTTTCCCCCCGCTTTTAGCGCACAATCACAGGATGGGGCGCCTCAATATTTTGCATAGTTTTAAAAGTTTGCCTTGACTCAGAAAAGGTTGAGAAACCCGGCATTAGAACATAGCAGTCTGTTACTTTGCCTGATCTCTCACTGCAGTGATATTATACAAACTTAATTGGGAGCTACTTATCAAACCTCATACGCCTTTTGCGGTGTACAGATAAAATTCCGCGACACTGCATAATAGTGAAAGAATGGGGAACAAAACCCTTATGAAAAGGGGAACTATGAGGAGGGTCCAGACTTCCTGTGTTCTACTGGGAGTAGATGAAAAGTAGTTTACAACATACAGTCCAATAACATCTAGTATATGATGTTACAATGCTGCATCTCCTGAGTCCTGACAGTCTACTAAAGTGTGACTGAAGAGAACCTGTCAGAGTAAATGGCATTGGAAGGGTCAAAGCCAAAAGCAGCCAATTAAATTCCAGGAATGATTTCTCTAGTAAAGTTCAGATCATAATAAATGGTATCTGATTAAAGGTTATGCATCCACTTCCCCTTGCAGCAGCTGTATTTCCACAGTGATGTCTGGAGATGAATCATGTCTTTCATATTGCTGCTTTTCAGGATGTGTTACACAGGCACCCCCTGTATCTCATTGTGTCCATGGTGTGCTATGATGACGGACTGGTGGCAGGAAAGAGCTTGTTAGCTCTGAAGACCAAAGGTGCCAGCGAGGAGCAGTACAGCCTGTGGGTGTATCAGTGCAGTACTCTGGTAAGTACACTATGATGAGATCTCTGCAGTTAGGAATCACAAACAGGAGGAACTTGCTCTATCCCAAGGCCCCGTTCACACCAAGGCATCATCGTTTTTGTGAGTTGGTACACGCGAGTTCAGCTAGCTTGCTTTGCACATAAAGACGCGCGTTTTAACTGGCAGCTTAAGAAACATTGCGGTCAGTAGACAAACACACACGAGACTGTGCAACGTGCTTCTGTAGTAAGTTTCCATTGACATCAATGTAACTTTTTTGGGGGCTTTGCTTCTCGGGTATGAACAGGGGCCATTGAAGATGATGAGATTTCTTGCATTGGATGTTTTAAAGTGCTTTCTACTGCGCAAAAACGCTGAAGTGTATTTCCAGTTATATAAGAAAATTGGAATAACACCTATTTTATATTTATTTGTTCCCATTCACATAGCACTTCATTCACTAACCGTGTCTGTAATGTGCTGTGAGTTCTCATTATCAGTTGTAAACTAGAATTGAGCACTGATTGCCCTAACAAAGGGTTAAATGACTTAAGACACGTTGGGGGGAATTTAACAAAACTGGAGCAGACAGAATGTGGAGCAGTTGCCCGTGGCAACCAATCAGCATCTCTCTTCAGGTTGCTCAGGTCAGATCTGAAAATGACACAGAGAAGCTGATTGGCTGCAGTGCAAATCTGCTCCAGATTCTACTCCAGTTTTGATAAATTCCCCCCATTAGCAGATATGTTGTTTAAAGTGTGTGTGCGTGTGTACGTACATACCTCTACCTCTTTTTAATGTGTACCACTGTGGAGATTTTTTTCTTCTCTTCTTATCCTGGATTTGCAAAAGGAAGTTGGAGGAAATTGCTGTAAAGTGAGGAAACGTTCCCTTTTACAGCGTTGTTACTGGAACAGGCGCTCCCATTGGCGATATTGTCACTCATCTCATGTTATGGTGACAACTGTAAAATTTTGGATTTCCAGTCGCTTTCAACCATTGATGTTGGTCACTAGAAGAAACCGTGTCGGTAAATCTCGCCGGTGGGGCCCAGAAAGTAATAAAAACCGCATAGCGTTATAACCCTTTCCAACTACATCTAAAACTGGGGGGAAAAATGGGGTATACATGTTCTTTAAATTTGGGTAGACAGGTAAGGGTTAAATCATCTGCAGTTTTACATTACAGTCTGTGTCTCAGTAAGGAGAAATTTCCCCTCGTTTCCTGGCCCTGTGATCACTGTTACCTGAACAGGAAGTGAGGGGAAACCGCCTTCTGAAAATATTAGCTGCCTGGCTGTCCTGGGCTTTGTTACTGATTAGGATTTATGTATTTTAGATGGTCAGATCTGTTGAGTATGATGTAGCTGTAGAAGTCGATGTTTATGACACCGACAATCTCCATTGTTTCCTCTATACAGGAACACGCACAGGCTATCTGTAAGGTTCTCTCCACAGCCTTTGACTCTGTTCTCACTGAAAAGACTCGAGTGCCTGCAGAATAATCACCCCGCAACACTGGTGACAACAATTGTGCCTTCTGTTCAAAGACGCCTTCCCACTTCACTGAGCAGGTCTGTCCATAGACTCCTTTCACCGAGATAGGTCTATCCGGAGACACCTACACGCTTCTGTCACTGAGCAGGTCTGTCCATAGACTCCTTTCACCGAGATAGGTCTATCCGGAGACGCCTTCCCGCTTCTGTCACTGAGCAGGTCTGTCCATAGGTCTATCCGGAGACGCCTTCCCGCTTCTGTCACTGAGACGGGTCTATGCGGAGAGGCTTTCCCGCTTCTATTACCAGGAAAGGTCTATGGAGAGGCCTTCCCACCTCTATCACCAAGACAGGCCTATGCGGAGAGGCCTTCCAACTTCTATCACTAAGACAGGTCTATGGGGAGACGCTCTCACGCCTATCACCAAGACAGGCCTATGCGGAGAGGCCTTCCAACTTCTATCACTGAGACAGGTCTATGCGGAGAGGCTTTCCCGCTTCTATTACAAAGAAAGGTCTATGGAGAGGCCTTCCCACCTCTATCACCAAGACAGGCCTATGCGGAGAGGCCTTCCAACTTCTATCATTAAGACAGGTCTGTGTGGAGATGCCATCCTGCTTCTATCATCAAGACAGATCTGACCGAAGACACCTTCCCGTCTATGTCACTGAGACAGATCTGTCCAGAGAAACCTTCCCAATTGTGTCACCAAGACAGATCCCTACTGAGAATATAGGGATTCATGTAGATTGTATATAAGACAGAGCTCTATTTTTTATATTTGTCTGTTGAACAGTTCAGTAACACTAATGGACTGATAACATGTCAGTAGAATGGTACTGAAGTGCTGGATGTTCCCTGCTGAAGAGTCATTGAACATCACTCAGTTAAAGATTGACAAAGGTACACTAACCACATGTACAAATGAGGCCACATTGGTACTTGGTAAGAGTGGAGCTCTCTGTACAAGGTGAAACCATTGGTACTTTTTGAGTAATAAAGCTGAACTCCAGGCTGGGGAAAAAAATGGAGTGGGCTCCTTCCCTCATACCACACTGCAAGGGTTAAATGCTCCTTACGTCTAGGGGTAGAGGGAGTAATACTGGCTGTATTCTCTGTTCTGGCAGGCACTTTCCATCAATGCAACTAGTCCCATGAAGGAAGGTGCTTCTGACCATGGCCGCATCCTTGCCTCCTCCACGTACGGTGCAGGGCTAATAGCCTTGCATTGTACATGAGGATGCAGAGGGACTGCCCCCTGCCTGGTACGTCAGGGAGAAGAGGAGAGGGCCGGAATTGGTGTCAAGGTAAGAATAACACCCATTCCTCTGCCACCTGGACTTAACAAGCATTTAACAGTTACAGTGGGGTTTGCAGCTTGGAGTTCAGCTCTAACAGGCAGGTACAATACACACGTATGTAATCCACTCTTTCCCCTTTTCTGTCTGGCTCTTGTGTCTCTCTCATTCTGGGTTCATTCCTTCATTTTCTATTCCATCATATGCACAGTAAATAGTCTGTATGGACACGTTGTACTGCCTTTGCTTGGCTTCCTAATATCTGCAACAGGGTACCGTCAGATGTTGCAATGGGCTGATTTTGTTGTTGTACAGATACCCGAAGCCAGCAGATGATACAAACCACCGGTATGTAAATTGTAGGTACTAACCGGTCCTCTAAAATACATGTTTTACTATGATTTAGATGTTTCTGCTCTACTACATATCCTAGAGGACAAATTGTATTAACGTATATATTTGTATTGTATTATACTGATGAAGGTACAGTGTTTAAAGGTTTAATCCACCAGCAGCAGATATTTCAGTCACGGGTGGATGACGGTGAGGTACATCATTTATTGTGGGTTTTTTTTTAAATGTCACAGATTGCATTTGTGAGTTCTCCTTACCTTCCCTAGCTTCATGGTCTTAAGATAGTGTGAGGCCCTTGTGATGGCTGTTTAACTAACCAATCACATCCAGTGGGAGGAGCCAGGGAATGATAGGTGGAAATATGTATGTGTATAACATTTTGTAAAGACGTACACCCCATGGAAATTGATGACTTTTTTTTTTGTACACATGTTTGAACATTCAAGCAGCACAGATAAAGGTGATATACTTGAGTGAAGTTTTCCCTCTTTTTTTTACTCATTTGTTCAACAAATAATATCAGTAGATGTAATGGCGTTCTGTGCAATCATTAAGTACACTCTTAGTCCCAGAAGCTGATAATGCCGCTGCAAGAAATGACTAGCTACAGGCATTGTTCTTAACTGCCCTCCAGTCCCTGACATTGAATCTGTGATGGCTTTGACTAGTATTCCATAGTTGTAAGATTGCGTTCTTCCTTGCATGAACTGCAAATGGGGGTTTTAAAGGAGAAGTATTAGCAGAGTAAAATGTACTTCTCCCAATACTTTGAGGCGGCATGGAGCACTGCAGCTGTCACATAACAACTCTATAGATTGAGAACTGAGCGACCACAAACTGCTGATCGCTCAGCTCACGATCATCTCCGAGCAGAGACTGTCAGTCATCGCTCCACGCAGGGATTCCCCCCCCCTCCCCTTTCTGTTCCTCTAGCCCTCCACTGGGGGGACAGACGGGAGGGGGTGGGCACAGCTGTCTCTGGATTTAGAAAGACAGCTGTCAATTAAGCAGCGTTGTGGATCCCGACAATATTTTCTTTCCGGATACAGCATGGCTCTGCGCTGTCAGCATATAGCAGGCAGTAGCCTGGGTTGGGTCACAGGAGGACGTTAGTAAATTAGTTCTCTTTTAAATATCCACACAAAATTTCAATGACATTCAAATGGGGGCTTTGACTAGTCCAGTTCAAAATGCCCTATTTCTTCTCTTTGGGACATTCCTTGGTGGATTTGCTAGTGTGCTTTGTATCGATGTTGCACTGAACAAATAGCCCCACATTTTCATCAAACATACTTAAATTTGCAGAATTCCTAGTTGATAACTGTATGCTCCCAAGGCCATGAAACAGCAAAGCATCCACAAACAATAACATTTACATCACCATGCTTCACAGTTGGTATGTGGTTCTTCTCCTGTAATGCAGGCTTTGCGCCAAACATACTTGCTGTTACAGTGGCCAAACAACTCTGTCTTTGTACCATCAATCCATAGAACATTTTCCTGGTACATCTACACCACTTTTGGATTCTTTTCCTTAACCTAGAATGATTTATTTCAACTTCCAAATTTCTTGCCATAAGCATCCAGCACCTTCCTTCTGAGGGCCTTAGGTAACTCTTTTGACCTTGCTATAAATCACGCACACACACACACACACACACACACACACACACACACACACACACACACCCTAGATGTTGGGGGGTTAAACAAGACAGGTTCCACCTGCATACTCCCTAAGGATGTTCTGATCCTTAACACCTAATCCTGAACAGCTGATTCTAATTGAATGGATTTTAATTGGTGGTAAATGTGGGGGGCGTGCTGACTATTTTCCACTTGACAAATCTGAATTTAGATTATGAGAAGGATTACACCATATCTGTTTTATGTATCATTTGTTCAGGTCTGCCACCTTTAGCCTTCATTCACACTGGAATCGCCGCCACGTACAGCTCCGTGCAGGGCCGTATCAAGCAGCTCCCGGGAAGGACAGGTGCAGCCCCCGTCCTCTATGGGACTACTCGGTCGCACGCCCCCTACGCTCACCCGCTTGTGAGGGTGAGTGTACTCGTATGCTGACAGCATGGACCCTGTCTGCGCCCGAGCCAGGAAACACGCACCCCTATGGACCTGCACTTGAGGTGAGCGTAGGATGGCGTAGTCCCACAGAGAAGGACAGGGGCTGCAAACTAATCACACGCAGCACCTGTCCTTCCCGGGAGCTGCCCAATACGGCTGTGAATGCAGCACCGAGCTGTAAGTGCGGGCAGATTCCAGTGTGAATGAGACCTTATTTGTACGCACTGTCTGCAGGAAGATTTTGATGTTGGCAGGTTGGAAAAGTCAGGAATTTCCATATACACTGAGTGGCCAGATTATTATGACCACCCCATCAGTACTTCGTTGCGCCGCCTCGTGACTCCACGAGATGTTGAAAGGTGATGCGAGGAATCTGACACGGTGCTGACTACAGTTTTTATAAAGCACCTCACAAAACATTTTGAAAACTTGATGGCTTCCTTTGATAATAGTTTATAATATGCAGTTGTCTGGAACTAATCTGCATACACTGCATATTATAGGGCTGGATGGTTACAATCTCCATCTATTAGATTGTAAGCCCTCTTGTCTTGAATTGCGATTGTAATGTCTTCCTTATATTGTAAAGCGCTGCACAAACTGTTGGCGCTATTATAATAATCTAAGTTATCTAGAAAAAAAAAACTGGTAAGCAACTAATCAGTCTACGCGTGGATAGATAAATAGTGGTCTACTGCCGGCTATATGCTGACAACGCAGAGCCATGCTGTAGCCGGAAAGTCAGGGGAAAGGTGAACACAGGAGCGCGCAGTTCACTGCAAGAGCATACAACAGATCTGACCGCAGTCAGAACCTAATTAAAAGCGGCTTCTGAAATCTACAATCTAAAAGAAAGGTCTCAGTAGAGCAGCTACAGGTCTTGTTCTCTTATTTTGCACCGTACGGTACATATGCAGGTGAAACTCGAATAATTAGAATATCGTGCAAAGTTCATTTATTTCACTAATGCAACTTAAAAGGTGAAACTGATATATGAGATAGACTCCTTACATGCAAAGCAAGATAGTTCAAGCCGTGATTTGTCATAATTGTGATGATTATGGCTTACAGCTCATGAAAACCCCAAGAACCCCAAATCCACAACCTCAAAAAAGTAGATTATTACATGCAATCAATAAAACAAGGATTATTTTTAAGCTGCATGAGTCAAAATCTGTCATGTACGTTTACATTTGAAGGTTCAGTTTATACAATAGTTGCATTGAATTTTAGAAAGGTACAGGCTCCGGGGGAGGGGGGCGTCCTTGCTTCATTCCTTAGGTCCTGCCACACAGTCTGATCAGGAGGACATCTGTGCATGGATGCCCTCCTGATCGGAGCAGTACTGATCAAATGTCACCATTGTGACAGCTGTGTCCATCCAGTATGTGATGGAGTTTTGGATCTTTCCTCTATGTTGATCTGTGGGGAGTCGGATGCAAATGGATATGTGTCTGTCTTCATCGCATTACCCCCGATCCGGCACGATCAGGACAGGCAAAATTGATTTTTTTTTTCCGAACCTGGCGGGTAACCGTGTGGAAATGGACACCTGTCCATTTAGACCCGGCTGGCCGTAGACTAGCATTGAACATCTGATCAGGTCTGCTTGAAAAACTGACAGTTGGACCGCCGGGTGAAAGGGACCTTAGAGAGTTAATGTTTGAGAATACAAGAATGGAGGGCCGGGATAACCTCCGGCTAAGCTCATTTTAGTCTTTTGTATTCACTCGTTAGAACCAACAATTTCAGAGGCACCTCGTTAGTGGTGTGTTGTAATGTTGCATAGTGAGAATTCTGGTTCTGTGACAGTTTTAGTTGCAGGTTAAAAACTGTTTTACCCCCAATGGTGACTGTTAGGAATGTGGTGTTCTATGGATCTGAGGCAGATAGATTTCCCACAAGTCACATGTGGCAGGTTCGCCCTGACTTCTATAGCGATTATTATTTTGTTGCGTTAATGAAGTCTGTCTGGAAAAAAATGCACACAGAGCATATATCTGACCTTTGCTTTGTATTTGGTTTGTTTGAACTGACAATCCATCATGTAATATCACATACACCGTATAGGACAGAGGAGTGTCAGCTAGCAACTTTAATACTACTTTAAGGGAATCATTCACTGGTATTTAAAGGAGAACTATGGGGTAAGTGTTTTTCCCCATAGTTCTCCTAAGGATCACGGGAGAACACAAACTAACGTCCTCCAGTCACCCAAAGCTCAGTATATTGCGGTATACAGAGACCGCCGCAGCTGGGACGGATCCCGACATTACTGTTGAGATCCGCCCAGCTGCGTGAGCGACATCTGCCAGCTGCCCATCTAGAGGCAGATCCAGCTGTACCCTCCCCCGTCCGTTCCGCCAGTCAGCGCTGCAGGGAGCGACAGTGCAGGGAAATGATCGAGAAGTGAGCGAGCAACGGTATGTGTGCGCTCACTTCCCGATCTATTGAGCCGACGTGTGACAGTTTCATTGGCACACGTCGGCTCGAACTATGAGGTTGAGTGAAAATCACTCACCTCAGTTCTCCTTTAACTCTCAAACTTTTTCAATAATGAATCCAGACCAAACAAATATACATTGCCCAGCAAAGTATTTCTTTACATATTTGCCCAAACACTTGGGGTAAGTTCACACCAGCCACAGTGCGTTTCCGGCCTGATTCTGACCAGAAAGCACTGGATCGCATTGCAGCTGGCTCACTTTGTTGTGGTGCAGGAAGGGGGTGAGGAATCGCATTGAAGTGAATGGCACTGCAGCCTCGCCCTCTGGCCACAATGCAATTGGCCGCACAGGACTGCAAGGGTTAAGTGCTTGTTTTGTCTAGTGAGCTAAAATAATAAAGTTATACTCATCCAAATCGCATCCTGGCTTGCTTAGACTGATCCCTTTAGTCTCAATTCCCCTTCGCTCCAGAGGTCTAAGGTTCTGTAAGTCATCATGTTCTATAAAGAGTATAGAACGTGAGGACACTGGCAGGAGCGCTGTAGAAGCCAGCCAGCATTGTGGTTCGGGTTAATATATAACTTCATTTCAGCCCCCTAGACAAAATTAGCTCTTAACCCTTGCAGTGCGGGGGGTAGCTCCACGGCAAGGGTTAAGATCTGATTTGCTCAGAATTCTTCTTTAATCCATGCGTTGAGTCATTAGCAGGTTTCCCACACACATATAATTGTCTTCAATGCTGAAACTAGCATTTGATTCACATAGCTCAGCATTAAGGTGGCCATACACTTTACAACCATCACAAGATCTTAGTCTTGCGATGGTTGTAAAGTAATTTTAAAAAACGTACGATCTGCCCATCTTGGACAGGCAGATCGACAAATCCCGTGTGCTCCTTACAAATGACAGCTGCCTCCTAACTTTTGAATTTTTCGTCCTCGCTTCGGCAGGACATATACTAAAATTGAATTTTTCTCTAGTGTAGTCTTGGAGCTGGAAAAGTATCTGTACTTGTACTGAGTACGGTACTTGGTATCTGTGCAATCATTAGTTATAATGAATAGGCTCACATTACCAGTAATTGCAAAGGAAAGCTCCAGTTGTAGATCTTATAAAGCAGTGGTGGCGAACCTTGGCACTCCAGCTGTTCCAAAACTACAAATCCCAACATGCATCTGCCTCTGGGAGTTATCTTCTGAAGAAAGCTAAAAAGAATGAAAGGTTGTAATAGCATTGCACTGAAATTGCATTGTGTCCAATGGGTAGATGTCATGGATAAACCCAAAACCCTTGCCAAAATCATTAGTGGTCAATGTTTTTTTTTTTTTTTTAAAGCCAACACTCCCACCACCATCATTGGTGGTCAGCAGCATTTTATAATCCAGTCAAAACAATGTCAGTGTGCTCACCCCCACCAATGGTAGCCACTGGCACTTTAAATCCCACCTAGAACAACGTCACAACATTGGTGGTCAGTGGCCCTTTGATCCCCATTAATCATTCCAGCAATCACATGTCACATACCCCCCTGCCAGTCGTACAATGTACCAAGACAGGTGAATCTTCGTGTTAACCCCTCCATAGTGTGACTGTTCCAAGCAATGCTCAGATTGGGTAAGCGGTGAGCCTTTTCTCTTTCTGTTACGGACTAAACAAGCCCCTGGCTTTGATATTGTTTGAAAGGAAAGTGTATTTCAGTTACTTTATCACCTCATCAATCCTCAGCATGTTCGGCATTAATCTGCATCTTTTAAATCTGCTTGGAGTTCAGAGTTAACACAAGAAACGACCCAAGAACTCGAACAGCCACTCTCAATTCAAAGTAGGCAGCATAGAGGTTTATTCGATTGGTCTGGTTATTTATTAGCAAAATCACACAGAGCTAAACGATTAGTTCCATAAAAAAGTAAAGTTAATTATATAGAAAACATTTTTTTCCCTAAGAGTCGTTAACCCATTAGCTGCAGACGAGTCTATAGTGCATTGCCCTGCAATGTATTTCAGGTTCCTCTTTAACAAGGAGTGGGGATCTATAGACAGAGACACCGTTACTAAACCAATAATCATAGAAAGTCAGGCTCATATAAAAGATCCTGGGAGTTTAAGACTGCAGAAATCTCTACACTTCAACAAGAATATCTACATCCGATTGGCAACAAACTTCCGTACAGGAACAATAAATATACACTGAATTTGGAGTCTGGGCAGAAGCCTCTCCTCCTGTGGAAAGGTGATGAACAGAGGGAAGAGTTCAGCTGGCAGTCATGGCGGGTGGCTCTATCTCTTCAATATTCTCTATAGTGCTGGAGGTCTTCTGCTCAGCTGGACTCGGGAGACGAAGGTCCTCATAGTCCTGGGTGGCTTATTCCATAAAAATGTGTACAAAGGACACAGGAAACGCACCTCGTCTTGATGGCTCACCATCTATATGTCCAATCTGTGAAGGAGATTAAGATACAAAGTGAGTCAGGGTCACACATTATAATCCTACTATGAGTAGTGATATAGCTGGCTAAAAAACTATTCTAGGCTTTCACAAACTAACTGTTTGCTACATCCAAATACTTGTATTGCATCTTGATGTTGAATACCAGCTCCGCCTCTCTCTCCTCCTCGTTTCTTGCTCCCCATTTGTTTAAAAATCTATATACATACCTTTTTTTTTTAGGTGTCTGTGGTCAATCAAGTGATGTCATCAGTCCTCTTCCTCCTCCGATAGTTGTCATGTCCTGAATGTTGCAGAAAGTGCATTCTCTGCAGCATTCTTCTGTGCATTCAGGGTGGTCTGGTGACGTGCCCCTAATGCTCTGACATCAATCACACTTGTAGGCCATTCATTCTTACTTCTGCCCCTTAGTTGAAAGTCTGTACCTCAGTACAGACAGGGGCTAGGAAGGAAGAGCCTGCAGGAGCCAGAGCATTGCACCTGCCATCTACTGTTACCTGTCAGGAGCTCCCTCTAGCTGCCAGCAACTGAACTAAACACTGCAGTGGGTCACATGCTCTCAAAGTGTGATGTTCAGGCACAACCAACCAATCAGCAGCCTAAATCCAGCTCTCACACTTTGACGGGTGGGGGTTGGGGAGTAAAGTAGGTTAGCTATAGATTAGGTGTTAGGAAAGTTGACCATTTCAAACTGAGCATGTGGTGATGAATGCAGGAGTCAAAACTGAGTTGTCACCCTTCCACCTCCCAAGTATCTCTATTGATCAATCAGCCTGTCTATCACATCACAGTACCATTGATGATGGTGGAGCCAAGCGCTACAGCAGGAATAGCCGAGATTTGCATATAATTTTAGCTGCCTGCATCTCTGAAACAAATAATCATTTTGACATGTGACATCTAAGCCATGCTGACCATTCCTAACCATGCTTGATCATGGACGCAGCCAATGCTGACCATTCCTAACCATGCTGACCATGGACACAGCCATGCTGACCATTCCTAACCATGCTTCACCATGGACACAGTCAATGCTGACCAAACTGCCTGGTTGTCATGCCAATACATTGGTTTCAGTGCAGAATAACTGACATAGAAAAAAATGTAGTGATGAATAATTAAATCATTTAAAGCAAGCATGTTCTGTGTCTGTGTTTTGTGTCTTCAAAAAGAATTGATGCACGGCACCGCCAGGCAACAAGCTTTTCTGGAAGGAGGCTAGCAATGGCAGCCTCCATGCTTCTGTCATGACAAAGTCACTTTAACTTGTCAACTCTGAGCCCAGAGGAGTCTACTCACCCACCACTCCTGGTCCTCCTCTCCGTCTATTACAATGATCTCCCCTTCTACGAAGGTCAGCTCATCTGGATTGTCTGCCATGCAATTATATACCGCTTTCCCTTTTTTGATCTTTGGTTTTACCTGAAAGTCAACATAATACATTTTACAATTACCAAAGCATTTGGATCTGCTAGTTATGGTAAGAAAAAAAAAAGTGATGGACCATTCATGACACCTTTTTAATTATAAGCTCCAGGACCTTTATTTATTATACTATGAAGCACAATTGTCGCAAACCATAGGAAAACCCATATTCCACCTTGAAGCCGGTCCTTGAAAAGCATTAACTGTGAAGCAAATTAGCATTAAAGGGAGAGTGTACTGTAATTTCTGTGAGTACAAAGTCCAAGTAATCATTCCAGTGTTTCAAGTGTAACTGAACCTCAGGGCCATGAGCTGGCAGCCAGGAACTGCACAGGAATAATTTACAAGCTGCAGAACACAGGTATAGAATAAGGAGTTATGATGTCCCAGCATATCCTCTCCTGTTATAATATCAGCATTGTAATTGGAATACATACTAGTGATGTTTTTGATAATACAATCAAAGCTTGCTTGAAAAAATCCCTTTGATGTAGTGAGTGCTCCCTACTGTCTGCCATCACTTACATCAACGTCCTGGATTCCGAGTGTGCTTTGCATCTCTTTCCCTGCTGCTCGATGTATGCAGTCTCCATTTCTCAAGACTGCATATCCCATCATGCATTGCTTCCAACAAGCAATGATAATGTTACATTGTTCAGAGGTTGAGTTGTAGGTCAGACAGCATGCTTTTTGAGAGTTGTGACACCAGGAAGTGCATAGTCACAGGGCTGAGTGAAATGGTGTCATTGCATTGATAAAGCTCATCTTATGGGCATTTTCAATAAGTTTACAAACTTCTAGCTGGATATGGTTATAAGGAGTGGGATAGCACTTATGGAAATTCAATATAGAAATACAGAATTATTTTTAGTTTTTGATCCAGACACCCTTTAACATGCACTATATTGCCAAAAGTATTGGGACGCCGGCCTTTACAAGCACATGAACCTTAATGGCATCCCAGTCTTAGTCCGTGGGGTTCAATATTGAGTTGGCTCCGCCCTTTGCCGCTATAACCGATTCAACTCTTCTGGGAAGGCGTCCACAAGGTTTAGGAGTGTGTCTATTGGAATGTTTGACCATTTGTGAGGCCAGGTACTGATGTTGGATGAGAAGGCGGGGCTCGCAGTCTCCACTCTAATTCATCCCAAAGGTGTTCTATCGGGCTGAGGTCAGGACTCTGTGCAGGCCAGTCATGTTCCTCCACCCCAAACTTGCTCATCCATGTCTTTATGGACCTTGCTTTGTGCAATGGTGTGCAGTCATGTTGGAACAGGAAGGTGCCATCCCCAAACTGTTCCCACAAAGTTGGGAGCATGAAATTGTCCAAAATGTCTTGGTATGCTGATGCCTTAAAGAATTCCCTTCACTGGAACTAAGGGGCCAAACCGAACCCCTGAAAAACAACCCCACACCATAATCCACCAAACTTTACACTTGGCACAATGCAGTCAGGAAAGTACCGTTCTCCTGGCAACCGCCAAACCCAGACACGTCCATCGGATTGCCAGACAGAGAAGCGTGATTCGTCACTCCCGAGAACACGTCTCCACTTCTCTAGAGTCCAGTGGCGGCGTGCTTAACACCACTGCATCCGATGCTTTGCATTGCACTTGGTGATGTAAGGCTTGGCTGCAGTTGCTCGGCCATGGAAACCCATTCCATGAAGCTCTCTACGCACTGTTGTTGTGCCAATCTTAAGGCCACACGAAGTTTGGAGGTCTGTAGCTATCGCTTCTGCAGACAGTTGGCGACTTCTGCGCACTTCAGCATGCGCTGAGCCCGCTCTGGTCATTTTACATGGCCTACCCCCTTCGTGGCTGAGTTGCTGTTGTTCCCACTTGCTTCCACTTTGTTATAAACCACTAACAGGTGACCGTGGAATATTTAGTAGCAAGGAAATTTCACGGAACACCTGAATCCAATGATTTGAAGGGGTGTCCCAATACTTTTGGCAATATAGTGTATATCTGACTGGTGAAGGACAGGTGCATAAATATGCACGCTTGTATCAGCTGATCATGCATGCTTACCTAAGCCCGGGAAACTAACGATTGGCAAGAAAACCCAACTGGGTGGGTGGGTGATTCTCCTGAGATGGGTGAACCCAGGTGTGTTTGCACAGGTCACATAGTGCTTATTACTTTACAAACTTCTCCCAAGCCAAGCGATGGTGAATTCACATATAGCTGTTAGTTCTTGGTGTGTGGGCACCTTCACACAGACATTAACAATGGATTAGAACTAGCTTTGTCATAAAGGGACAGGGAGGTGATGAATACAGTCATTTGTTTAACAGTGCAAACCATCCCGGGAAAGGGAACCCGTTTAGAGTAATACCGCATACAACACAGCTTTGCTCTCCATGATTTCCAGTTATTCTTGAATTCCTTTTCCTTTACTTGGTCTGACATGCACAATGTTATACAATGCTGTTAAAGTCACCAGGTTGCAATGATGGAATTGTTAAAAAAAACAATAAAAAAAAAAACACAACAAAGCAACGACTTTCATTACAGAGGGCACTGCGACACCATAATGTATAGCTTCCCAACAGACTACATTCATGTCAGTGGCTCTGCATGCTCCTATGGCAGATGGCTGTCCTGGACTGTAGAGGAACTAGCACACGGTCTCTACATCAGCCACATTGCTGCTGTGGGTGCAGAAAACTGCTACAACATGCATATGAGAAGTAACAGCCATTACTCTTAACAGAAAATATGATCACTCACTTGTGTTTTATAGGACGCATATTGGGACAGAATAAACACTCACCAGCTGAGATTTCCGGGGCATTGGAGCAGGAGGATGTACGGGTAATGTAGCACCTGGTTTAGGTCCGGGGGGCGGAGAAGGAGCGTCATCTCCAGCTGATGAGGAGACGGATATCACAGCATCACATTAATACATCTTCATAGTAAATCTGTACCGTACTTAAAATACACACTCCACCGAAATTAACATTTTAAAACGAAAATGAAAACAAATGTTGGTCCGAAACCGAAAATGTTTTTTTTTCTTCTAACTTTGTAAAAAAAAAAAAAAATTAAATTAAATATTTTTATTTTATAAACTTACATTTTATTTTCATTTATTATTTTTTACTTTACTTTTTAGGGTCTTCTGGGAAATATTAGGGGACTAAACAGACCCCTGATATTTCCCTTTTAAAATAAAAAGGAGATTGAGAACACAATCTCTATTTCTGCAGCCCCTGTTATGAATGAACAGGAATCCTCTATACTGAGTGTTCCTGTTCATTCATAACATAAGGACTAGAGTATGTTTACTATAACCACAACTATGAATGAACAGGATGATGTAGATCACTTCCCATTCATTCAGAATTGAGGCTATAGTAACCCTACTCTGTCCTCAATTATTTACAAACACTCCTCCCCCGTACCGCTGGCCTCCTGCCACACCACTGGTGGTCTCCGCCCACACAGCCTCTCTACTCTGATCTGTGACAGGAGGCTGAGCAGTGCGGGGAGGAGAGATGCCAGCCGCTCGCAGCGCTCAGCCATCTGTGACAGTTTCTCTCCTCCCTGCTGGGACACAGAGCAGCGCCCAGCGAGGAGGAGAGAAAGAATGTATACACTGCTATATCGGTAAAAAATGGCACTTTCTGCATTTTGCCATATGCCGAAAGGCATATGCTTCAGCTTGACTGAGCCGAAGTGACAGCCGAAGCGGGGAGAACAGCATCTCACGGCTGGATCCGCCCAGTTGTGATGACAGATCAGTGTCCCCAGGTCATGTGGGGACACTGATCTGTCATTAAACAACTGGGCGGAGCCGGCTGTGATGTCACAGCCAGCTCTGTCTAGTTGTTCTTCATTGGCCAAGACCTGCTAGAAGACTCTGGCAGATGCCAGCCAATAGGAAACAGATAGGTGAAGCTAGCTGTCACCGGTAGCTCCGCCCAATTGTTTTTTATTATCTTTTTTAATTCTATTTTTCAGCATTTTTAAAATAAGTTTTCAACCTTTTTTTTTTATTCTTTTCAATTCTGCTCGGTACCTCGGAGGTCGAAGTCCCTCTGCACTACGGCTGAGCCGAACATGCAGAGCATGTTCAGCAGACTGAAGGCAGCCGATGTACAGCTGATTTCAGCCGATGTATGGCTGAAATGAGCCCTAGTGAATAGCTGAACGTTGTTCGGCTCACTTCACTTCGGCTGGGTTATTCACTCGGCTGTCTTCAGCAGCTTTGTGAAAAACCCCCCCACTAAAACGAAAAAAAAAAAAGGCTATAGCTGTGTCGATCAGCAGGTGGCGCTGTCCTCTCAGTGTCAGCCATGGGGAGATAATGGGATAGATATGTGGAAACTTACCAGGAGGTGGTAAGGCTGGGGATGCCACAGACTGGGTCTTTCTTAGTGGAGCAGGCTTCTCTACCCTGAAGGAAAAAAGAAAAAATATAAAACAGTCAAACATTTAAACATATTTACATTTTAAAGCCACATAGCTATAAATAACTAAAAAGGCAGGGATGATTAGGCATCAACTCTCCTTAAAATTGTATCAAACCCAAATGATAAATGTATAAAATATAGAATTCCTACATGCACACTAATGTCCCATCAATAGACAAAGGGGGAAAAAAAACCAAATCGGAATCAAAGAAGTACATGGACGGAGGGCCTGGGTTTGGCGGCTGCCTTGAGGGTTTAAAAGGCAATGGCATTTTTTTGGTGCCTGCTCCTTATCAGAATAGCTATGGTTATTGCCATCAGTGCATAGGTATCTCTCATCGCAAAATTTAATAAACTTCACATACTACAAAAGAGGCCATTGTCAACCTGGGCCTATCATAGACGAGTGTTGGCAGAAAAGGGCCAAGTGATCCATCAAGTCATTTTGCAAATTTGGGGTTTTTACATTCTTTAAAATCTTTTTTTTTGTCTGAACATAGACCTACGTTTATCCCAAGCACGTTTACATTTACTTACTGTTGATTGACTCATCACAGGCCTGCGTCAGCTGGCTTTGGGCTTGTTTCAACGGCATCACGTTGAGATGCTATTGAGATCATTCAGAATTCATTGGCAGTGCTTTCGACCGGCAACTGACCTCCTGACCTGCGTTTGATTTGTTTCAAGAGGGTTTTGCATTCCAATATCTTTGTATGAAAATGCAAAACGAAGAAAAGCCCATCAACCCAGGCCCTACCTCTGCTGCAAGTCATTTGCGAGACTTAAGACTCTCGTATATAATAGCAGCAGTTGGATAATGAAGGCGATTGAAACGCGTGCACGTATTATAACCACATCTATTAGTGTATGTTATTGATATGCTACAGTTTAAAAAAAAGCTGACCTGAAAGTTCGGATGGCATGTCAAACTGATGAATCTTTTAGATGTGGCAATGAGTGCACAGTCAAATTTGATAAACATCCAGACGCCTGATTCTTTGGATAGGTGCCCATGTATTTTGGTATGCAGCCAGCTTTACTGGGGGTTACAGGCAGGACAGGCTCTATGAAATCATTTATGCATTGTAAACTAATCTCCAGAGGCAATGCTGTGCTCAAGATAGTCCGACACCACTTCTGATAGCACATATACGTGATAGGCATACACCTTGGAATTGTAATTGAAGAACCGATATAAAAGCTTTAAAATTCTCCCTCAGAGTCTTTCACAGCAATACAGAAAGAAAAATGGAGTTGCATTACTAGTTGCTATGGATAATAAGAATGGTTCTTTCTTCAGGAACACAGTATCCCCAGTGTGCACATCTACTGTGATCAATGGCACACACTCACTCTCCCTAGACTTACCCTGGGACCAGTCTTTTCTGTGTCAGTCTATTGGGAGGCTGTGGTGGTGCTGCTGGTTTGTTCTGTGGAACTGGAGGGGGCTGGTTCTGTTTGGAGTGCTGGTTCAGTGCTTCCATAACGCTGGCTGTTTTCGCTACAGGAGGTGGAGGGGGATCTGAAATGAAAGCAGAGCAATCAATAAAACCCCAATATAGACAGCACCGGTGCTATATATACACACATAGGCGCGCGCACACACACACAGTGGACGATAAATAACCAACACATATTTATGTGTGCACAATACACAAAACAGGAGGAAGGCATCACGTCACAGGTTAATAGGGCAAATGTGTTTTGTGAGTGTTCAGGGAATGACTGATAATACACAACATTACACCAAGTTCTACACATTCAACTCATTTATGGAACTGCTAAACCCAAGAATGGGGAAGGGGTGTTTGGCTTTAAGCTGGAAGTATAAATTGCAGAAGATGTTCAGATGGGTACAGAGCAGCCAGCTGGAAAACTGCAGAGAACATCCAAGTGAGGTCCTGATCACTGGAAGGATAATCATTGATGTACTGATGGTAAACCAGTACAGCTTGAACTATTGTTGAACTAAACCTTCCACCATACTATACTGTGTCCTTGAATAGCCTTCTATACATTGACTGGCAGAACATTATGGGACATGTAGCTGGAGATTTTGATGTTTGGTATTTGTCTAAAGTCTTGTGAGGCCCTTTCACATGGATTACACGATTTGTCTACTGGATGCATCTTTCCGTCAGGCCTTCCATACCATAGAGGAAAATGTAGGCTGTATAATAGCACAGAATTTTTAAGAAGCATTGACTGAGGAAAGTTCATATGTCTGTAGGCCTTCCTTGTCCCTCTTCACAGGAACAAACAAGAATGTGACCCAAGCATGCATGTTTCTACAGCGCTTCTTGCAGGCTTTTAGAGCTAACGACTTGATTGGCTACAATCTGGCACTTATTTCATGAATGTCTAAAAGCACCTTTAATTGCTTCCTGTTCCCGATAGCCCAGGTTATTCCTGGGTTCCCCATAGTAGCTAGATCCACTAGCAGCCAGGTTAGTTAGATATATATACACAAAGTGAGGCACTCATGGGTCTTTTGATGAGACAACATGGATACATTTGGTCTTCAGAAAGACATGCAGTGCCTTGTCGAAATGTCTACCAGCCCAATAAATATAGCAATGTTGCATTATCACAAGACCCGTGGGTGCCTCTTCTCTTTGCCAATTGCCTTGAGTGCACCTGGGCAGTTTTTTACTCTTAACTAAGTGCTGTGCCCACCACGCAGTTAACTGCTCATATTAGTCTAGGGGCTCAAATAAAGAAGAAATACTCAATTGGTCCTTGATCCCACCTGGCTGTTAGACCGGTTCTCACAGCCTCCTTTTCTCTGGGCTCTGGTGGTCTAAGCCCAGCTGACGTCATCCCGTCTATGCAAGGTCTATTCACTTGTGTTAGACGTGAGGACACAGAGGTACATACCACAGCCGGAGTGGAGGGCTAGAAAGCTAAGCGGTAACCGCTGCAGGGTTGAGGATGGGTCAGAAAACCTTCTTTATTTCATTCCCTAGACCAAACTGAGCAAATAACCCTTGCAGTGCAGGTGTAGCCCCACTGTAAGGGTTACATTTTGAAAATCCTGGAGAACTGCTTTAACAATAGGTTTAGAAGGCTTTCAAAGGACTTCAAACCACTGCAGGTGCGACCGGGCCCTGGAGTTCTCCCACTTGGTGGAGGGGTAAGGGGAGTGGGGCCAGAAACAAAGAAGAGGGCCCAACCCTGGGGTAATCACCGAGGTGCAGACATTGCCTCTCTGGACTAAAGCTCCCAGCATGCAGCAGGCCAGTGCTCTGCAGCTCCCTCAAGCGGTGGTGGCGGGGGGCCTTTCATGGTTTCCTGCACTGGGGGTCTGAGGTTTCTAGTTACGTCTCTCTTCCAACGTAGGATGACTTCATATGGAGCACTCAAAGGACTTCCCATGGATGATGATGAAGAAAAAATGTTTGCTTTATTACACGGAACAAGCAGGGAATCACCAGCACTCAGTAATGAAAGCAAATTTGTCCTTTTATTGGACAGAGGCGTCATAGAAATCAAAAGAACCGACGTTTCGGGGCCGCGCAGGGACATGTTTTCTACCTTGAGGAAGGGACCCTGCGCGGCCCCGAAACGTCGGTTCTTTTGATTTCTATGACGCCTCTGTCCAATAAAAGGACAAATTTGCTTTCATTACTGAGTGCTGGTGATTCCCTGCTTGTTCTGTGTCTGCACGGCGCCATCCGTGAACCAATATCACTGCGAGCACCATCTTTTCTTGCTTGGCCGGGACTGCTGTGAGGTGTGCGGAGGGCTCCCCCTACGACTTATTACTGCTTTATTACACGGACATTTTGGGAAGTCACTGCCCAACCTTTTTAATGGTGGCCAGCTTCCTGCCAAAATGTCTGTGTAATCAAGCAACTGATTTTTCTTCATGAGATGTCCTCCATATGAAGTCATCCTGCGTTGGAAGTCCTTTGAGTGCCTACCATAGCTATTGATACATAACTCCCGCTGTGTGGAGCACTAATACACACTTATCTGCGTCTATAATATAGACTCAGAGTGAAAAGAGTGTATCCACTCCCTCCGCACCACTGCAGTAGCCAAGGAATCTGTAGTGAAATGACTGTTAGTTTCATAGCACACAGAGGTCCTATCTCTTCCCTGCACCCCCTTTCAATTGAGGTGCTGCTCAGAGGGCAAAAAGCTGTACAGTGGCTTCAGAAATTAGGGGAAACATGGAACTGACATTTCGGAATAACCGTTTGTATATGTTTTAACTCTTTCATTATCTGTGTGCCTGGAGGTCCACCTAAAAAAACAACTAACAAAGAAAAGAAAGTGTGGTGGTGTTAATCATAGCCACCACAAAATGGCTGCTGGGAACTTTTTGCTCTAGACTTCCAATCTCCTAGCTCCCTCTTCTTGTTGACTTCTTCCAGATTGCCCCATAATGATTGAGCACAATACAATGGACCTGATCAGAGTGTCTGAAATAAGGAATGTCTGTGCAGCTTCATGACAAATAAACAGAATATGATTAGCTGCAATAAGGTAAAAACAATCCATATTTCAGACTCCATCAATGACGCCCACTGTCTGACGGCACAACCTGGGCCATGGTTAACCCTATAATCTGACATCAACAAATCATAACTGTCCTGCCTCTGCGATATCTAGTTTCTAGCATACAACCAGAGACAATATGGTAGTTGGCAGCACAGAGACGCAATAGAGTTAGACACAACAAAACACGACAGAAGGATGCAGTGAAGGGTCATCTAGCAGGAGTGCACTGGAATGGTGCTAATGGGTGGATGACAGGAGGACACGTACTTGTGGCAGTAGATGTTACACGCATTGGTGGCACAGGAGGGTGGATAGCTGGAGGGTCAGACGAGGACCTCTGTCTGCTGCCACTCTCATGTCCTATCGCGTGGGATTTCCAGGCCGGGGAATTGGAAAGGGCGTTGTGTATACTACTGCCAAAAATGGTCGACTGAACTGGAGGGGACAAAAATCGAGAGGATGGGAGGAAAGATTTCCATTGATCACAGAGAACACATGCGGTCATTCGATATCTAAAAGTAGCTTACTTTATATATAGTTCTATCAGAACACCATAGTCCATAAACAAGCTTTGTACAAGAAGAAAACACTGCAGAACTACTTTGTAAATGGCTTGTAGCCATCAAGTCCAAAAACCTTATTAAACACCAATTACATGAGCAGTTATTGGGACATGAATACAGCGCCAAAAATGTCTTTCTGTGTGTTATCCTGACCATGGGAAAAACTCAGCCTCCCAAGAGGACTGGCTAAATGGATACACCTCTTTGGAAAGAGTTTTCCCTTTATTTGGAATTACACAGGGTAAAGCTTTTTTTTCTGTAGAGACTTCTGCGCTCGATTACTGGGCGTTCCTCCTTACAGCTGCGTGAGCCTGCATTAATATCATTCAAATATGTGAAGCGGCGCTATCACCCAACGCAGTAAAAATTTTATGTGTGCAAAAGTTTAAAAAAACTGCGTCGTGTGATAGTGCGGCTTCACATATTTGAATGATACAGTAAAGCTTAGAACAGTACTAAAGCAATCATCTGAAATTATACAATCTGCCTATTTCTGCTCCTTGACGGGCAGAAGGATTTTTATGACAGGAAAGGGTTTATGCAGCACCACTTTGTTAAGTGATCACTGTCAAATGACAGTGATCACCAAGCAGCAATTGATGCATTGGGCCTGGCCCCCTTCCTAGCAACCTGGCTGCAGTAAGTGTTTAGTGCACATGAATGTCTTCAGTTCCACTGGCGCACATGAACCTTTTTAATCTGCAGCTTATCCACATTGAGGATGATTAACTGCAATTACAAAGAGTTGTTATTGCGAGAGAGGAGCCAGAACTTTCACATAAAGATATAGAATTTTTGTTTTAGCTGTGTGGAAGTTCCTAAGATTACAATAAAGAATCATCTGGATTTAAACAGAACAGGTGCAGCATAAACTGCAATAAGATACAAAGCTGAAGCTGCCACCATGTTTCCCAGTTTTCCTACCTTTGCCAATGTTTCTTGGTGGCAGAGGAGGAGCTGGTGCCGGCCCGGCAGAGCTCGGCGGTGTGATGTTATTATTGAGCACTGCTCCGTACGTTTCATTCTGAACGATATTGGGAAGAAAGTTTCTTTGCTTGTCTTTGGCGATGTTCGCGGCATCCCGAGCTAAAGCGGCAACGCTAGGCTGCCCAGCATTTGGTCCCATCTGGTAAAAGCTGATTGGTCTGTCCTCCCTCCGGTTAGGACTTGGCTGCTGCACAATAGCAGATAAGGGCACAGCATTAAGCTGAGAGCACAGAACAGAAGACATACATTTCACACATTTGTATTACTTTCGCTTTCTTTTGTTACACAAATGGGCAGCAAAAAGTATTGAAAATTAAAAAAATTAGACACTTCGATAATGTTGGTCAACGTGAACCTTAATTAATAAAAAGTTCTTATTCCTAAAGCAGAACTCTGGGGAAATTACATAAGTACCCTTGCACTGCCCCCCCCCCGCTTCAAGGGTTAAATGCTTGTTTTTGTCAAGGGTACCTGAAAGAAGCCATTACTTACCTTATATCCCTTGCTCCCACAGGCTTCTCCTCTCCATGCCACTGGTCCCCCTCTCTTCAGCACTCTATACATCTGAGACACTCTGACATCATCACATACAATGCAGGACCAGCAGTTTTGCATTGTAAGTGCACAGTGGGTTAGTGGTTAGCACTTCTGCCTTGAAGCACTGGGGGTCCCCGGGTCTGCTCGTATCCTGGTCAGGACACGATCTGCAAAGAGTTGGCATGTTCTCCCTGTGCTTGTGTGGCTTTCCCCAGGATTCTGCCCACATTCCTAAGACACGCTGCAAGATTGATTGGCTCCTGTCTACATTGGTCCCGTATGTGTATGCAATAGGGACCTTAGATTGTAAGCTACTTAAGGGCATGTAAATTTGCAGTATGTAAAGGGCCGCATAAATTGTCAGCTCTATATCAATACTTGTAACGAGTGAGGATGCCAAAAACCCGTCTACAACCCGGAGCATCAGAGAGAAGATATGAGCGCTATCCCTCCGGGGGAGCAAAGTAAGTAAAAACACATTTTGAAGGCGCACTAGACAAAAATGAGCATTCAAGCCTTGCAGTGTGTGTCGGTGGGGGTATGCCCGATTGCAAGCATAGTTTTGTCATTTCCACAGAGTTCAGCTTTGATTGCCAAGTCCAAAGAACAGTTAAAAGGTGCCCATACACTGCACGATTCTCGTACGAAATCCCGCGATATTTACAACCCTGGCAAGACAAAAGTCTTGCCAGGGTTGTAAAGTGTATGGGCACCTTAATACATAGCGACCAGTCTTTCCTGTACTTTCCTGCCAGCAAAGGGGGCGGCAGGCACACCTATCCTTCCCCCCATGTGACCCAATGAGATGCCGCCTGGCTGCCACAGTATAGGGTCGGCCCTGGATCCATGGTGTGCTGGCGACATAGGTCTTTAACCTTTTGGCAGTTGCTACAGTACATTTTTACTCCTGTGCCAGGAATGTGTGCAATGGGAATATATTGGATGACCTTCTATGACTAAGGTTGGGCATGTGGCGATGATCTAAGCATTGAATGAATGGTGTAGAACCAGAACTTTCATATATCCTAGTGTCTCTCTTATGCAGAGACTGCACTGGTTTTCGCAAAGATCAGTTAAGTCTCTGGTAAGTAATGGCAGCAGGCTGGAAAAATTCAACATGGATGGCAAACTGGATTTCCCCACGAAAAAAAAAAAACCTCAGCTGTGTAGGAGGCACCCTGAGTCTAGAGCCATTACACTTCTTTCCCACTCCTTTCCATTGCCTTAATCCAAATACTGGTGCTTCTCGGTATGCACACGCATGCTCCTTCTACCCTCCCCACAATGCTTGATGTCTGATCATCCAATAGCTTTATGCAGTGGTCGAACTCATCATCATCACTACAAGATCTTGGTGAAAAATTAATGCAACTCTGGATGGAAATAACTGTTGTGACATTGCATAAGCTTATCCAAAGGATGCCATGGCGAATGCGTTCTGTAATTAAAGCTAAAGACGGTCCAATTAAATATTAGTGTGTGTGGCTTTTCTTTTGGCCAGGCAGTGTACTGCAGTTATTCAGATTCCATGGTTCATATAATTCAGTCAGTACCTTTTTGGCATGTAAACAGCCACAAAACCTCTGAAATCCATATGTATCAACAATGAAAGGCATGATGCTGGTGCTGGAGGAGCCAAACACCACACTTTGGAAGAGCCCAGTTAGCATAGCTAAAGGATGAAATGTATTTATTCCAAAATAACACCAACCTGAGTTTTATCATCCACGTCATCATCACTCTCATCCATGTCCACATGATGCAGCCTCCATTCATATTCTACATGGACATGAGCATTGAATCTCCCAGTCAAAGCTTGCATCAGCTGGTAGAAAGGGGAACAATATAAAAATTGGCATTGAGTGCATCACGTTATGCTGCTCGTAAGTCAAGACGTATTTGATTCACTATTTGGAGTGCCGGTGTCTCTATATATTCTACTAGCTCAATATAAAAATTAGGCAACGTACAGGGAATGTGTGAAATGGGAAAATACTGAGATATATAAAAAAAATTAGGGTTCAAGAAAAAAATAAATAAGATGCGCCAACTATACAACAATGCAATTCTGATCATCAGTTCTCATAAACTAAAATCAAATACTTGCGTGCGTGGCCGTAACTTTACTTAAAGTGACACTAAACTCAGGAGTTAAATCCTAAAAATGCATTCAAGTATCTTAACCATTAACAAAAACTGTCCTTACTTGTGTATAACTCAGCTGTAGATCCTCAAATCATCTCTGAATTGGTGCTGACACTGTCCTTCCTTCTGGAGGGGGGCTACTTTTGTTCCCCATGGTACCTCTGTGTGTTGTAAAGTAGTCAACACTCCAAGCTCACTCCTGTGATGGACTACAAGCTCACGTTTAGTTTACTCATTTGTATTGAGATTGTAGTCCATCGCAGGAGTGAACTTGGAGCGGTGACTGCTTTACAACACACACAGGGACCATGGGGAACAAAAGTCGCCCCCCTCCAGAAGGAAGGACAATGTCAGCGCCAAATCAGAGATGATTTGAGGATCTACAGCCGAGTGATACACAAGTAAGGACAGTTTTGTTAATAGTTGGGGTACTTGGATGCATTTTTAGGATTTAACTCTAGAGTTTAGTATATTTTTAGCTATAATTGAGAGGTCAGTGTACCCAAAGTGGATATTTCAGTTTTGAGAAGGTGACGCAGAGCTGATTTAACTACAGAGGACTCTGCCAGAGAAATATCTATACAACCAAACAGGGGAAGGAAAGCCGAGATACCTCTTAGAGTCAGTAGTTGATTCAACTAATGAGATGGGTAGTTTAGATACACAAAGACACTGCTCCATCCCAGAGTACAGTTCCCAAGCAACAAGAAATGCCAGGTGCCCGTCAAAGAAGCGTGTCATCGGTTCATGGCTGTATGGGCGTTTTTGGATGGTAATGTTTTTACATTCTTGATACAAGGAGATCTCGATCAATAGACTATGCATAATGACAATACAACAGATCAAGACTTACCAAGTCCTCACACTGTGTGTGCTTTAACCTCTTAGCAATATCTAGGCATGTTTCACCTGCTTCATTGGCTGCAACACAGAAAAAAAAACCCAAAAAAACTCATGACGTTTATGTTGCAAAAGCTAATAAACTGGTAGCAACCAATAAAATATAAACAGGTACAAATAACACTAATACTAGTTTCATAAGTTAGTTAATAATAATAATAGTTGAAGAAAACATTTCTAAAAGACAATACAGACGGTTCCTTTCACTGTGATGCTCTAAAGCTGGCCGCACACTGATAGAATTTGGTACTAATGTTCATACGAAAAATCAGAACATTCGATAATGCCATCAGATTAGATTTTAACATTCGATTTCAGAAACGAATTGAGTTTCTTGAACGATAGAATTTTGTTTGTTCCAGAAACAAAATTCCATTCTGTTCCTTTGATATTTTTTTGTCACCGCGGCCGAAAACGATAGTTAACTTGACCCAAGCAACTATTAGAAAATCAAACAAACCTTCCGAAAGCAGATTTTTAAAAACTAAATTCTCTGGGTCTATGGCTGGCTTAACTTGGCTCTCTTGGGCTGCCTTACATGCTTTTTGTTATCCTGAAACTAAGCTTATTTTTACTGTCCAATCGAAATCAATGTTGATGCAGATATTTGGAAGAGGAAAGAAAGTGCTGGACCTGTGTTGTTATTCTGTTGGTGTTCCTCATCCAATAGTGGTAAAAAGTGATGGCAATATGGATGATCTAACTAACAGGTAGGCAGCTTATGCAATCCAAAGGATCTTCAAACAACTCTTGACTTGACAGTGAACATGCAAGATGTAGGAACTGAAGCATCACACCATATAAAATAGCCCAGATACAACTTTATTCCATTAGGGTCAGGGGGCATTCACGTAGAGTGGACGACACGTTTCTGGGGTCCAAGGCACACACCCTTCATCAGGGCTTAAAGTGACATTAAACCCTCAGATTTTTTTACATAAAACAATACTGTAATGTGTGCCTTACTGTAATCCATGGTAGTTTCCCTTCTCTTTGCTGCTCTTCCTTTTAAATCTGTATCTGTTCTCATGCTCTGCAGAACTTCTGTTTTGCAGCAGATTGCCTTGTCTCTGAAATGGATACATGGTGTCTGTGTGTAGGTTCACAACCTGAGCCAGCACTACAGGAAGAGGCACTGAGCTGCAAAGGGAAGTTCTCCCCAAGCATGAGAAGACATGAGGATTTAAAAGGAAGAGCAGCAAAGAGAAGGGAAACAACCATGGATTACAGTAAGGCACACATTACAGTATTGGTTTATGTTAAAAAATCTGAGGGTTTAATGTCACTTTAATGAGAGAAATTATGTATGTGGACTAAAATCCCTGCAGCTTGAAAGTTGTATTGAGTTGTGATGGGAGTACTTCAGGCAGCTGGTGTGGCAGCCAAGCCTGACATACTGACAAGCCTAAAGCACTCCCATCACAACTCAATGCAATTTTAAAGCTGCAGGGAATGTAGTCCACATACATGATTTCTCTCATTAAGCCCTGATGAAGGGGGTCGCTCTACTTGAACACCCCCTGACCTTAATGGAATAAAGTTATATCTGGGCTATTTTAATTGGTGCAATGCTTCAATTCCTGCATCTACAGTGATCAACATCAATAACCTTTGCTAGTGAAAAATACTGCATTGAACCATAATGAGGATTTGGATAAATGGGTATGCTATGAGTAGCTCTGTGTCATATTCCAAAGCAGTAAAACTGACAATTTTGGCTGATGATTTAAAAAGGTATCTGGAAAACACACAAGAAGCAGCCAAAGGAATTCCTTGCTAGATATGTATAAGTGAGTAGGTCTCATTTACTAGCAATGGAGAAGAGAAAACAGTTGACCACAGTAATCAAACAGACATCCTCTTCCGGATTAAGTTAAGCATGATTAAGTTGCTGAAAGTAACTCGTCTGAGTTCTCTTCCACAGTGTTTATAAATCAGCTCCAGTAAATGGATGGGACTTACCAATCTCTATGGAAGCCTTGCCTCTCAGTAGTAGTTTAAGGCACTCGGCGTTGTCTGTTAAACAGCAATAATGGAGGGCAGTGCTGCCTTTCACAGTCTGTTTGTCCAAATTACCACTTTGAGGAGAGAACAGTCATGTTCAGAAGCAGCCACAATGTTAAGATACAAGAAACCATCAATTATTATAAAGAATAATCTGTGCATGGCTTCCAGACATCTGAAGGACCCCGAAACACAGTAAGTCCCCTACATACAAACATTCAAGTTGCGAACTTTCGAAGATGTGAACATGCGCATGTGTAATCACGCAAGTTAGTTCACGTGTCTGGCATACATTGTCACGTGCGTGTGCTTTTGTGCACTTTACTGTACAGTACTGTATAGAGCACACTTTTTTTCATGAAAAAAATCAGGAGGCACACCACCATTAGAAAATGTTTAAAAAATTTACCTCTACAGAAAATATCTCACGGCACACTAGTGTGCCGCGGCACAGTGGTTGAAAAACGCTGGTATAGAGTACAGTATAACAGTATCTTTATTTCAAGCCCAGGATGTCCGAAGCAAGCGTAAAAGCAGCAGTGATGGAGCTAGGTACCCAAGCTTACTTTGTTGGACTTATGAACAAATTGGATTTACGAATGCGCTCTCGGAATGGAACCTGTTCGTATGTAGGGGACTTACTGTATAAAAAAAGGAAGATAATCCCATTTACAACCTTTTTTATCACAAGGATAATTATTTTTTCTGTTAAACATATAAAGCAAGTATGCTACAATAGAATGAGGAACAATACACTTTTAGAATACATCTAACATCATCATATACCACTTGGGGCCAGCAGTTTTGCATTCTAAGTGCACAGTGGCTTAGTAGCACTTCTGCCTTGCAGCACTGGGAGTCCCCAGATCAAAACCTGGCCAGGTCACTATCTACAAAGAGTTTGCATGCTCTCCTTGTGCTTGTGTGCGTTTCCTCCGGGTACACCTACACTCCAAAGACATGCTGGAAGGTTAACTGGTTCTTGTCTAAATTGGCCCTGTATGTATGCATGTGTAATAGGGAGCTTAGATTGTAAGCTCCTTGAGGGCAGGGACTGATGTGAATGTGCAGTACGTAAAGCACTGCGTAAATTGTCGGCGCTTTATAAATGCATGTGATAAATAATAGTTTATGCCTGCAACATACATACATGTGTGTTTAGAGGGGTATTCTTCATTTCTGTGGAGGGATACCTCTCTTCTGAAAGCCAAACTGAAAAAACAAGGTAGTAGAACACCTCACCCACATCCTTTAGCTCGTTCTCAGCAGGCACATGGCCATGCATTTTGCAAACAATATACATGGACATAAAAAAAAGTCCGTCTTCTACAGATCAGAGCATCAGGCTGCCTTGAGCAGTCCTACTGAAGTTTATTGAATAGGATCCATAGTGCAATGGATCTCAAACTGCATCGCAACACATGTTACAGCATGCATTTCGGCATGAATGGGTCCTCCTTGTGCCTGTTACTCCCCAACTGTCTCACCCTGCCAGCACAGCAATTGTAATTAGTTTTTTTATTCATTTTTTTTCAACAGAACACATACAAAAAGGCAACGTCTGAGAAGATTGTAGCAGTATATGTCAAAATGTAATATACAGAATAAACCAGATGAAGAACTTTTTAGTAGTTACATTAACCTATGACATTTAAAAAAAAAAAATCACAATAAATGTAATCCTAGTAGAAAGGATATATAAAGAAAAAAAAGGGGAAAAAATGAAAGAAGTTACGTGAACAGCAGATAGGTTGTGAAAAGAGGACAATGATCTACATGGACACAGGTCCAAAAACAAACTAATAATAGAGAGAAAGCAGCAATATCCAACACATGATACTTGATTGTGCTTCCTTTGTATACTTTTCATCCAGATCTAGTCTGCTTATAATTTACTTTAATATAGTATTATCCTTGTAGTTATCCTTTAATTGTTGTGTTACAGTGATGCTGTAATTATAATGTAATACTACAAATGGATTATACTGACCTATTTTGCATTAAGAAATCAACTATGTGCAGGGATGTCCGGTCTACAGATCTGACAGCTAGATGTAGTGCCGTCTCGCCTTGTTCCTGGAATAATAAAACCACAATCAACCATATAAATCCAGACAGGTTGTACTAGACCAGGGGTAGGCAACTCTGGCCCTTGAGCTGCTGTGGACCTACAAGTCCCATAAGGCACTCAAACAGCCACAGACATGAAGGGATTTGGAGTTTCACCACAGCTGGAGTGCCGAGGTTGCCTCACCTGCACTAGACGGTCCATACAAAGACCTCCATGCAATAACTATTAGAGAGTGATTGTGCCCAGTCTGTTCAGCTTTGTGACATATAACAACGCACACGGTAGGCCTTTTATAGCAAAACCTCTGCAATGACAACCAAAGATGTCACCTGACATTGATCAACCAATACTCGAACCCTTAGATGCAACCTATAACACAGGTTTTCTGCTCATTTTCCCATATACTGTATATATGTGGCAGCACGGTGGCTGACACTCAGAGCTCTGATCAAGGGTGAGAATGCAATAATGGACACAGTCTCACAATCCACAACCATTCTGGTAGCTTTACTGGCATCTGACCAGACTATTCCAGAGTGTTTATAATGTCACTATGAGACGACCATAGGAACATGATACTGTGAGCTGCAGCAAAGGACTGCTCAGTTCATTACACCTGCATTCTTTTGACTCCAGAATTGGTCTTTCTATATATCCAGAACACCCTTCCCCACTACAAGCCCAGATTGCAATAGATGACATGATCCAGCAAGGTGATCCTAGTCGCAGGATTGTGGATCTGGCACTACCCTTCCCTAAACAACATTTTTTAGGAAGAATCAACCACAATGCACCAATAGAACTCACCTTTATTAATACAATGAAGGTTTATAAAAGGTATATTTATTCATTTCATATCTAGTATAATGGGGCATGACCCTTCTGAGTATCTGTAGTTCAGATTTAAAATCTATATAGGCTTAAAGGGGGTACAACTCTATCTACCCGTAATGGATGTCTGCACTATAGAAGGCATGTTTGGATGTGTTAGGGACATTAGACTTGCAGGGACGATATAAACGGTATAAACTGATGCAGAATAGATCGGCGCTATACAGTTGCAGACTATGAAATGTCATTGTACTCACATGGCCATTAGCTAGTGGAATGGTTTCTGTAAGGTCCACGCCATCAGCGTGCAGCTGCACCAGTGCATATATGTCCCTGGTCTTGACGGCGTCACACAGATTGTGCAGTCTAGATGCATTGTCAACGTATTTCTTCCTCGCATATCGTTTCTCAATGTACTTGGCAGTGATGTAATCTTTCCTAGCATTCCTGGAAAAGGGGAAACACAAAGCTGATTAAGTAACAATTTTCTAAGACAGATACACCACATATACAGATATGTTATGGGCAGCCTGTAGATTTCCAACTTTTGTGGCATGATATAACCATATAACCCCAGTATGCTCTGACATGGGGTAAAGGCTATAGTTTAGGACTACCAAGACACGAAAAGAGGCCCTTTTTGAAAAAATGCTACTGGTTGAATGTGGATTTTTCATACAAGAGTGCTGCCTGCAATGTCTGGTGTACAGAAGGCCAGTGGCAGCAGAACCTATCATTTGAATTTGGTGTATGACCATGCAAATATGGTAATAGCCCTTAAAGTGTATTTCCACTTTTGCAGACAAATTGGGATAACATCCACTTTATATTTGTTACATGTTCCCATTAGCATAGCACAGCTTAAAAAAAATATTTAAAATTCACTTGCATTTTTTTAATGATGTTTCTGCAAACTCCAGGACTGAAAAATCCTGTTTAGTTCTCATTGTCTGGGGGGAGTTTGAGTTCATATAATTAACACTGTCTCTGCTGTGCTGGCAGATTTCATTATCACTTTAAACTAGATGAACAAGACTGTCTGTCCTAACAAAGGGTTAGAGGCATAAAGACCTTGTATGCTAAAAAAACCTGTCCCTCATCAGCTCACAGATATCTTTTCAAACCTCTAGAAGCTGCCTATGGATTCCTGGGTATAATCCTTTCTAAATAAACAACTAAAATGGTAAGAATTCTTAGAATATTTTAGATATGCTATGTGAATGGGAATACTTAACATACTGTAGCATTGTTACTGTGTAATTTGGCAGCATTGTCACCCAGGCTTTTCAAGTCTCTCTAGGTTTTCTGGAGTATAGCGGAGATCTGGGACCGTGGAGATTTCCAAGTGTCTTGGGAGCGATGAAGTCTCCAATCCTAGGTCCGGGTGTTGCCAATTACTGGCACAGGAGTCAGCCTTATTAAGGAGATTGGACCAGAGTTCTATGGATGGTGGTATGGGTGTGTGAGTGAGTGTGTGAGTGAGCGAGAATCGATCAGTTCTCCTTTTATTTAGAATATATCTGGGAGTCGGGTGCTTCAGCTTGGGGTTGTGTTTTCACAGATAACTGAACTTTTATTAAAGTGCAATATGCCCCCTCGTGGTCCTCAGCTCATCAGGCAAGCCTACGTCCCAGGTTGGTGCCTATACATGCACAATACTAACCGCCTGGGTGAACAATATACGCTGCCTAGCCCCGGGCAATGGAAGAGATCAGTCTATATCAGCGGTGGGCAACTCCAGCCCACCAGCTAGCGTGGAACTACAAGTCCCCTGAGGCACTGTAAGACCGACAGCCACAGACATGACTCCCAGAAGCATGTTGGGATTTGTAGTTAAATGACTGCTGGAGGGCCAGAGTTGCCCACCCCTGGTCTATATGGAACATTGCCCTAGGAAAGTATTGGTGAAGTAACTTTCCATTACAGTCCCCATGTTTGTCATAGAGATACGGAAACATTGGAATTCTGGGTATTTACGAAGAATGGTCTCACATGTCACTACTGGGCACAGGTTTCACAGTATCGTCAGCAGGCAGGCAGGGCTCCATGATCTCATTAAATGCTGTATTTCCAATGTTCTTGGCAAGCTGGAAAGAGAAAATCAACAAGGTTACAAAACAAGTTCAGCATCTGTGACACATTTTTGAGTAAATCTAAAGAACAGTTTTTAGAGGAGGAAAATGAATGAAATCACACCGGGGTTTCTCACAATGTGCATTAGAAGCTGCAAAAAGAGAAATCGAGTCCCTCTCATTTCCTGGCTGTTGGACGTCCAACATCATTAAGCCTGAGTGTCCCTGGCCCGCCCTTTTCATTCATTGGATTTCAGTTCTTGCAATTATGGAGGCTCAACATCACATGGAGGCATTACCTAGGTTGGTTTGCATGTATATGAATGACATCCCCCCATCAAGGCATTTTGATATTTGCATGACTCCTTCCAAGAGTCAGCTGCTTATATCAGGGCTGAGGGCTCTTGGGAGGAGAACTGAAGCAAGGAGCTGTGATGATTGTGGGAAGATCTGTACGGCACCCTGCTGGCCTCAACTACCAGACATGATCTGCCTGCATTGCTAGAGAAGAACAGAGACCCACTCACTGAGAATATCACTAGCTCTACAATAAAAGGTATGTAATGAAAAGAAAGGTTTTATTTAAAAATGTCATTAGTCTTGGATGATGGGGGAAAGAAGGAATGAGGGAAGGCAAAATATAAGCAGATTAAACTTCACCTTTTTTACCTGGGAAAACACACACACACACCTTTGCAATATGTGCACCTTTCCATTGCACAAGTAAACCTGTGTTTGCTTCAAACATCAAGCCATGCACAAGGGAGTTTATAGAGGAGCGGCCTCTGTTCACCTCATGCTTCAATCAGAATTCACTCCGCTGAAGTCATACATGGACAATATAAATTATGATTAAGTGCTATGGGATGTTGCATTAATGAATTAGAGCACCTTATTTGATAAGACTATATGTGTATAAGGAGGTTCTGTGCCACTGGTTAATACACTTTGTCTGCATCCTTATGTATTTACACTGCCTAGCCAAAAATAAAGACACACACTGTAATATTTCCTTGGACCTACTTTAGCACGGCACACATTCACCATGGCATTGTTTCGATAAGCTTATATAATATCACAACATTTATTTCCATCCAGAGTTGCATTCATTTTTCACCAATATGTTGTAGTGATGATAGGAATGTCGGACCACTGGGTAAAGTCTTCTCCAGCACATCCCAAAGACTTTCAATGGGGTTAAGGTCTGGACTCTGTGTTGGCCAATCCATGTATGACAATGATGTCTCATGCTCCCTGAACAACTCTTTTACAATCTGAGCCCGATGAATCCTGGCATTGTGATCTTGGAATATGCCCAATGTGCCATCAGGGAAGAAAAAATCCATTGATGGAAAAACCTGATCATTCAGTATATTCAGGGAGGCAGCTGACCTCATTTGTTGGGCACATAACATTGCTGAACCTAGACCTGACCAACTGAAGCAACCCCAGATCATAACACTGCCCGAAATGCAGGTGGTGACTTTTCTTTTGGCCAGGCAGTGTATATGGTCACTGATCTTCCCATTGAATCTACTGTCCTTATAATTTACAGAAGGGACCACATAATTCCATATGTAATTTATAGGCCATACCATAGGCCCCTCCAGAGGGGACATAATTACATTTTTAAGAGCGAAGAATCGAATGCATGTACTAATATTGGAAGTATCACCGCGTCATACCAGCAGCTCAGAAGTTCCCAGGACGTCCAGTGTAAGGGATTGTATTCTGGAGTAATGCACCCCGAGCTCTCTGTGAATTCCTGAGCATTCAATACACGTCAGTATACCCAGATTTGTAGAAAGCCAGGTAGGGTCTGGAGGAAAGGAGAAAAAAAATAAAAGGTTCAGTTTGCATTCTCAGAGTTAAAAGGACAACAGGAAGTTCTAAATGATTTTACAAAAGTCTACAAAGAACATTCACAGCTAGGTATTTACAAAGTATCCACACCGGTACTAATAACTGATTTCTACCAGAACCATCACCGATATGATTTTATACCTGCGATAGCTACCGTTTTTGATAAAGAAAAAACGAGGAAACTTTTTTCCCACATGGAACAACTTGTCAGAAAATCAGTTGTGTGTTTGGAATTATCAATCCCCACTATTCCACCTTATTTTAAAATCCATCCTCAAGTGATATTTAAATTGCAGTAGGTGGAGCAGAGTGGGCTGAGATACCCATGGTCTCATCTCTAGGGGACTCCAGTGGCAAGTCTCTGCACCATAGCTTCTAGCCTCATTCCCATCACCATAGGGTTTCTGAGTGTTCCCAACCACCTTAGGGTGGCCCTCCTATTGCAGTCCCCAAAGTATAATAATTTAGCAGAATCTCTTATACCGAGGCTGGACAAATCCCAGGAGTAGGCAATGCTCCATAAAAATTATGTCTAGTGCCCACCTTTCGAGGTTTCCTATAGTTGTTCAGTGTGTCTGCAGGGTAGCCGGTCCCCGTACCACCCACTGTGTAGTCTGATCGGTGATTTTGATGACTTCATCACGTCAGTGTGCAAGGAACAATGAGCTGTACTATTCTGAGCAGGAACATCTTGCTTGTCTGCAGGGCTGTCCCTAAAAATAAGGCAGCTGCCTCATGCGACATCTCATGGCACACCTACCACCCCCTTTCCAGCTACAGCGTCCCAGGTTGGTAAAAGCTCTTGGCAACCGTTGGCGCTCTGGCTGGCATCCCAAAGCTCACTGATGACACTGGGTGCCAGGAGCTGAGCAGGACTGTCTGGCTGGTGTCCCACCAAGCTCCTGGCAACCAGTGACGTCAGCGAGCTGGGCAGGATGCCAGACAGAGCCGGAGCCA